CCTCATTCCCAGGCCAAAGGTCAGAGCGCCGGGGTGCGGGTAGGTCCGACAAGGGCCACACCTCAGCCGCCAGGGCTGTTTGCAAACACCCCCCACCTGGCCTCTCCGAGCAAAACCTTGTCACCTGCCCCCTCACACCAGACCTTCCATCCCCAACATGTGCGGGATGCTTTGGCTGTTAAGGAATGTGTATCTTAGGGATGCAAATCATTTCAAAATCCAGAAGACTGTTACCACAACAAAGAACCCCAACCAGAGAGACGCATGCTGCTCAGAAGGGCAGGAAGCATGGTGACCGTGGCCTCGGTTTCCCCTCCGTGCAGTGACAGCAGGGCCCGAGGTGTTCACATAGATCTGTGACCTTGGAAGATTTGATAAACCAGCCTCCTTTGGTCTCTGGCCACAGTCTTTCCTCTTGCTTAATGCCATTTAAGGTGACGAGGCTCTCAGCATACTGGTTTGCTGACAGTGTGTTCCAGTCTTGAGTGTGTTGCTAAAATCCAGCTTCATCAAGTTACAACTAATTAGCGTGCAGTCCATCACCTGGAGTGCCATTATGCAAATTTGCATATGGCTCAGCTGCACGGTTTGGACAAATATTTATCATCGTCCTAAAGCCCGCCTTTGCAAAGAGAAAACAGGCCAAGTGGTATTCTATCATTGTACATCCCCTGTCTTCGAAACCAGAAGTGAGCTAGGCTGTGTGTATCGAGGACACTAAAGCTTTCCCGAGGAAATATCCTCTTACTAGTCCTTCATGGAGAAGGAAGTTTAAAGGAACCCGTAAGGAACCGTAAGTCAGAAAAGAACATGAGTGCTATCTTCAAATATACGGAGGGTCATCAAGTAGAAAAGAAAACAAACATGACTTGCATGTTCTAGAAGGCCACGTTGGAATACGTGGGTCAGAGCTGACCGGTTACAGAGAGACCGCTCTCAGCCCAGTCTGAGGTGGGACGTAAAGCCAAAGGGACTACTCTTGGGAAGGTAGACCTCTCTTGCTGCTTCTGTATAAAAGTTTCTATACATTACATTTATGAATTTTTATTTTTTTTTACCAAATGAATCCGATATGCAGTTGAATGTGTTTCTTTACGTTACTGCAGAGAGCCTGCCCTTGACCAGAAGAGTAGGAGAACACTCCTCTGAGCCCAGGGACCCTGTTTTCCTGAATTAACATAGCAAGAGCAAGTTCTCGATATTTGATTCCCAAATTGGTCAAAAGGTATCCAGACCCATCTCTCTCTCCCGGATGAAGTGATTAATGGAGCTGGGTGACACTTTTGATGAATAAGAATGTCAAAGTCAAAATGAAAATGGTACTTGAAATTTTGAGTTGGAGCCATTTAGATTTCTAAAAGCAATTCTTGCTGAGAGGTCCCCCCGTGCCCTCCTCAATCCTGCTAACTTGGGGAATAGAGGGTCAGCTACTCATCTAACCAGGAAACATTGTCAGTATGTTCTTCTCTCATGACTCAAACCAAAAATAGAACAAAAGAGCATGGTGTCATGTATAAAAAATACAAAATACCAATTCAAAGGAATACATGTTTGCACCCTGATGTTTATAGCCGCATTATTTACAATGGCCAAACTATGGAAACAGCCCAAGTGTCTATTGACTGATGAATGAATAAGAGGTGGTGTGTACACACACACACACACACACACACACACACACACACACACACAGTGGAATATTACTCAGCCATAAAAAAGAATAAAATCTCGCCATTTGCAACAATGTGGATGGAGCTAGAGAGTATTATGTTAAGTGAAATAAGTCAGAAAGACAAATGCCATACAATTTTGCTCATATGTGTAATTTAAGAAGGAAAATTAACAAAGTGGGGGGGTGGCAGAGAGAGGCAAACCAAAAAACAGACTCTGAACTACAGAGAACACACTGATGGTGACCAGAGGGGAGGTGGGTGGGGGATGGGGGAACAGGTGCTGGGGATGAAGGAGCGCACCTGTCGTGATGAGCACCGGGTGATGGATGGCAGTGCTGAATCACTGTATTGTGCACCTGAAACAATATTACACTGTGTGTTAACTGGAATCAAAATTAAAAATTTAAAAAGGAAAAAATAACATAGTCTCCCAGGCCAGAGATGCTCTAGGAGTGCCCAGGAATGGAAAGGGGTGAAACATGACCCCTGGGTCTGGGTTCTCACCATGGCTCTGCTACCCCTGGCTGGGTCACAGGGACACCTGCCTTCACCTCTCTGAGATGGTTTCCTCCCCTGTAAAAGCAGAATGATGGCACACATCTCAAAGGGCGGTTATTGGAATTTAAGTATTTCAGAAGTATTCAGTATCATTCCAGGCACGAGCTAAGCCCCCAGCCTGCCACAGCTGCTCTAATTATTACCAGTGTTATTTTCATTCTGAATCAACTTGCACTTCCTCACTTCATCCTTTCTGCTTTGCTGAATTTTAAAATAGTTTGCACAAATACATTTTAATTACCCTCCGAATTTCCAGCCCCCCTACAGTCCTCTTGAAGGGACTCTGTCCAAGTATGTGTGGCTGCATTGTTAGACACAACACGGAGGTTAGAAAACAAAGCTGTTTTTAGAACAAGGTTTATCATCCACTGAACACAGACCCCACGGAGGTTTTCGATATCACACAGTGTACAAGCTCATAAAAATTCAGAGAAATTTTTACAAGATTTGGGACAAGGTTACTGGGTTGGCTGTCAACACAAGACCAGGAGTGCGGACACTCCTGGCTGGGACGCACGGTCTCGCTGACTCTGACTTCGGGTGAGCGGCTTAGCCGTGTGTGCTCCCCTTCAAACTGGGTATAATAATGGGACCGACCTTACAGAGCTGGAGTGAGACCAGGATGAGTGAAAACCTCGTACTCAGCACAGCACTGGGCACAGAGGGGCCTAACAAGCAGTAGCTGTGGTTCGAGATTTCGGCAGTCCACTGGAGGGGAGACGTGGGTTTAAAATCATGGAAGAGCCATCAGGATAGTGGATGGCACGTGGAATGTCACAGAACAGAGCTCTCCTCGTGGCATCCACGTTGGTTCATTCACGTCCTCCACCCTTCGTGACGTCCAGAGTGTGGTCCAGACGCAGGGACAGGGAGGGGACCCTCCGCGACCCGCGTAAAGGGCAGCCGGCGGGTGGAGACCCTCAGGCTTCAAGTCCAACACAAACTACCTTTAAAATCACTTTCCAATTCCATTAGATATTTTTCCCAAATTCTATGTTTCTAGCGCATAGAAAGCAGATGTGTGGTTCATCAATACAGAATACGGCCGATCTGGGGTCCAGCTCGTCAGGCTCCTACTCGTCCGTTGGGACCCAACTGCGGAGTTTAGGGGTCTCAGTGAAGCTTGCGTTGGCTTCGACTGCCGTCTGCTGGCGTCCCTCGGTAGTAGCCGTGCGGGTGCGGGCTCGTTGCGCCTTCTACCGGCGAGCTCCCCGTAACGCGGGGACCGCCCCGATGTTGCCGACCCTGCAGGTGCACCACCTCATTTGTGCATCCCGACCGCAGACCCGAGACCTTACCGAGAAGACGGAATTCCACTCTGAAGAGGCTCTTGATGCCTGCTAATCTAGCAGGAATGGGAAGCGGACTGTACAAACATGCACGATTACAAAACCAAACGATCCGTCACTTGGGATTTGTAAAGAGAACGGTTGTCACTCCCGCCCTCCTCTGCAACAAGATGATAATAAATCCATCCCCAGCCCGCAAGTGCTGGGCGAGTCCGCGGCAGGATGTGCAAGTGATACTAACTAGGAAACGACGTGGTGTGCAGGGACTTCAGACCTGAAAATGATTTGGGAGGCCACTTCTACCTCTGCGGCCTCCATACTGCGAACAGGTCCTGCTTTCCACCTGGGAATACTGATGCGTCCCGTTACTGTGTTCCTGCCAAGTCCCCGTGCGGCATGACTGGCGGACCCCATTTCCCCCCCTCGCCCGTGGTTTGGCGGGCACCAGTTCACAACCCTAGCAGAGAGCAGGCTGCCTTCCCCAAAGCGTTGCTGCGTGTGGAACCCCTGAGTAGGGGAAGGGCCCCCAGTCAAAGAGAAAGAGTTTGTGTTGCTTCTCTGAAGGCCCCTAAAGTGCCTGAGCTGACAGGGCTCACTTAGGGCTGCACCTGACCAGCGCCGCTGCGGGTGGATGGCGTCCTGGGAGGCCCCTGGGAGGCCCGGCCGGCCGGTGAGAAAGGCCGGGAAGGCGCGAGAGCCAAGGGGACGGCGGAGGGGGCCCCTCAGGCTGTTGCACAACCTGAGCAGCAGTCCGGCTAGGTCTCCTCGCAAGGCTTCTGAGATCGTGGTCAAACGGCACACTGCGGAGACTTCCCAGAAGCAGGCTGCCAGCCTCCTGTAGAGACAACTGGGAATGCAGCGTGGCTTCCTGGGAAAGCCCTGCTCGTGAGCCCCAGAGCGCGCAGACATTCTGGAACCCCTTGCACGCCCCACAGGGTTGAGGGAGATGCGACTGTATGCTTCTGTTCTGGTCTGCGCTGACCAGCGAGCGAGGCCGGAACCCTCCAGGTGCTGCTCCCGCCGGCCCCTGTGCACTCCCTAGCGGGCCCCGTTTAATGGTGCCGCAGCTTTAAAGGTTATCCATAAACCAGTGACGCCTAATGGCGTTTTTCCGCATTCCAGGCCAAATGATTATTGGGGTTTAGTTCCTATCCATCTCATACAGATAGTAAGAATGGAACCATACATCGCTACAAGGAAAAACAGAAAATAGAATTAGTCATTGAAGCGTACGGCTCGATGTCTGTTCTGTATTACTTTTAGTATATGCTTCATCCTTCTACTTGTATTGCCCATTTAGTACTCACGACACCCTTATGAGACAGTTATATGCTTATCCCAATTTTTACAAATGAACTCCAGCATTAAGTACAAAAGGTGAAGTAATTTCCCCCCCAGGTTACACAGCTAATAAGGGCCAGAAATGTGGATGTAGGTATGTACCCAAGAAAGGTTAGTTCCTTGGCTAAAAAGATCCTTCTTATTTAAAGACTGTGTTTATTAATTGAGCAAATATTGACTGAACATTTACTATTTTCCAGATAACAGGTTAGGTTCTGAAGAATATATTAGTGAAAAGGAGGGAGAAGGTTTCTGCCCACATAGACATCACATTTCAAGAGCAGACAACAGAGAATAAGTAAACAAAGAGATTATGGATGGTGAACAGTATGTTAAGTAATTTAAGTCATTTGCCATGAAGTGTATCAGTCAGGACAAGCAGGAGTCTATGTAACAAACACACCCCATTTCCTGGTCATGGGTGAGGAGAGGAGCTCTGCTCACAGGGTCATCCAGGAACCAGCTGAGAGAGACTCCAGCCTCCAGTCTCCTCAGCAAAAGAAGAATGAGGCAGGTCTCCCACTGGCAATTAAATACTTCCTCTCAGAAGTCCTACATCAACACGTGCCACTTCTGTTCATCTTTCCAGCTAGCCACATGCTGAAGGGACTGCACTCCGGCACAGGGAGCAGAGTCAGAGACTGGCTTGGCTCGAGGCGGAGGCAGACGTGCATCCTCTGTCCTGTAGCTAGAGAGTCTGGCACCTTGACCTCCCTGGGCAGCCCTCTGAGTTCACTGATGGTAGTCTTCATCCCCAGATGGGGTCCACTCATCAGGGTTTCATTTGGGAATCCTTCTAGAAACACAGAAAGAAACAATCATGCCTAAGAAGTCCACCTGGTCTGCATCCCTTTCCTTAACACAAGAGTTTCTGATGACACCCTACAAACTGTCCAATTACATATCTCTAAATGTTAGCCACACTGGTCATTTTTCTCCCCCGAAACCTACCCATGAGAATCTGGAAGTAGCAATTTATCACTCTGTCAACTGCTCTTACTGAAATAGAGCACAGAAAATGTCTGTGGTCACGGTGACTAGCGTTTCCTAAAGCGACAATGTCGATAAAGTTTTGCTTCATCGTGTGTAATCTTAGACTCATTACCCCGTTCTGTAGAATATTTTATAATCACCATTCAGCTTTCACGGGCCGGCTGTAATCCTACAGCTTTCTTTGGATTTAGTAAGAGGGAAATGATCATCTCATTTCTGGTGAGGCATAATTGGTCTATATCAGTAATTTCACTAAGTGGTTTCCCTACCTGGTGGATTATTGTAATTTCTTGGAAAACTGTGATAAAATTTGTGGAGCCATTCATCTTCTCTTGGCACCTTTACGCTCTTTGAGTCTCTAATGGTTTTCCATTATTTCTTCCCTTGTGATATACTTCTCTAATTTTTCTTTATTGCTCTGTGATTACTGGTGCATTGCTGTTTTTGTAAAGAAAATTTGAAACCTGCTACACCCTACAGGGTTTGTTCTGCTTTATATTCATTTTTTGGAATGTTACTAAAGCAGAATTAATTTAAAATTGGGCAATTTGAAGCATTCCAAGACCCACCTTCTAAAACTGGAAACGAATCAAGTATTTCATCTAAACAGAAAGAAAAAAAACCAGTAATTTCCATATTCCATTAATGCAATGCCTGTGGATTAATTTTGTCCTCAAAGGAACTATTTTGGCTTTCAGCATTTACAGTATGACTCACATTAGCTGATGGTCCTGACTCGATGATACAGTTCAGGCTGAATTAAATATATGTTGCACCAAACGTGTTGTTTTCCCACCTAATAGTTATTCTCACCCTGTCTAAAGAACAGAATAGAGTTACACTCTGGTTGGTGATGTGCTTGTCTAGGAACTACACTTCCCAGCCCCCTGGGTGGCCGGAATAGCCGTGCCATGTGGTTTCAGCCAACGAGAAGCAAATGATAGTCCCTGAACAGGGCTCCCGGGAGAACTACTTCAAGAGGACGCTGACTCAGAAGGCTTACACATTTGCCCTTGATCTCTCCCCTCCTTCCTTTATGGACTACAAACATAATTATAAAGCAACTGCATCAGGAAATCATGAAATCCTATCAGACACCAAGGCTTTTCCAAAAGCAAAGACAGAACGGTTCCTGCTGACATCATGGAGCGGCCATACAATGCTGAACTCCTCTCTTCCAGAGTTACCATTATATGAGACAAATAAAAGAACTAATTTTTTTAGCTACTTGTCCTCAATTTATGTCACTCAGAATCTAAAGATCTATTTGAGAAGAACTGCCATCTTAACAGTACTGAGTTTTCTAATCCATAAATCCATTGTAGTTAAAGAATTCACTCTGTATGTTTGCAATCCTTTTAAATATGTTGGGATTTCTTTTATGGCCTAGCATGCAGTCTGTCTGGAAAACGTGTATTTCAAATGTATGTGCGTGCTGCTCACATTGATAAGAATGTTCTGTGCTTGTCACTTGAGCCATGTTGGCTGAAAATGTTCAGGTTTTCTAGGTCTCTGTGTTTATCCTATTTGGATTTCACTGAGCTTTATGGATGTGTAGATCAATGTTTTTCATTAGATTTCAGAAGTTTTCAGCTATCCTTTCATTTAACTGTTTTCACTGAACTAAATTGTTTTCTCTCCTAAGACTTTTACTATGTGTGTGTTGGTGTGCTTAATGGTGCCCATGTTTCTGTTCATTTTTCTCTAATCATTTTTCTCTGTATTTTTCAGTTATGTGATCTCTACTGATCTATCTTCAAGTTCATGGGTTTGTTCTTCTGTCTGTTCAGATCTTCTATAAAGCCCATCTAGTGAATTTTTGCATTTAGGTTATTTCTCTTTTCAACTCCAGAATTTATTTAAACCTCTTTACAATAACTTCTGCCTGTACTGATATCCCCTATTTGAGGGTTCCTTGTAATAATATTTTTGTATAATTCTTAAGAATGTCCTTTAGTTCTTTGAATATATTCTATCTGCTTCGAAGTTTTTACTAAGCTTAACAGCAGGGGAATTCAGAAGCTGTTTTTGTTTTCTGCTTTTTCCATGGAGCACTCTTGTTTCTTTGCTTGTCTCATAATCTGTTGTTTAAAACTGGACCCTGAATAACATCGCAGCAACTCTGGATTCTTCCCACCCATGAGATACCTGGTTGTTGGCGGTGTTTCCTGTTTGGTGACTTGCCTAGACTGTCTCTAGATTGTGTCCCCACAGTGTGTGGCCACTGAAGTTTCTGTTCAGTTTTTTTTTTTAATTCCTGTTTTTTATTTTTAAGTCTGACATCGAAGTGGCCACCCCTGGGTCAACCCAACCTAGTGGTCAACAGTGATGGGGCCATAGTTTGTGTTAAGCAGCTTCAGCCAGGAAATATTCCAGCCCCCACTGGTCAGTCTGTGTTTGGGTGGAAGAATACATTCAACATTCAAGCAGTTTTCCAGTCTACTCTGGCTTTTATTTTCCTGCACTTGAGGCATCACATGAAACCAGGGATGCGTGCAGCTTGGTGCATGTTCTCTGCTTTCCAGACCCTCAGCGGTATGTAGAAGCTTCTCAAAGCCACTCTTCCTACTTAATTCTGGACAGGACGTCTGCTACTTGCCCCCCAAAATTATCACAATCTCAGTCTAGCTGCAATATTAGATGGCCCTGAATCCCACCTAACACTGGTATTATTCTGAGCAGTGCCCGTGGACATGGGTTTTCTCCAAGTGAGGCAGTAAAGTCCTCAGGACCTGCTCTTCCCTGGTGGACTGACTACACTGTGCAGCTGGGGCAGGAGGGGGAGGGTGCAATGCCCACTATTCGTACCAAGATTAAGTACTTTTTCTTGAAGAAAGCCTTCCCAAGTTGTTGTAGAGTTTGATCAACATTTGAGAGTTCTGAAATGGTAGTTTCAGCCAATTCTGCCTTTACCATCATCGCTTTGTAGCGAGAATTTACAGAGCTGCCAATCCCGAGGCTGTCTTTTAATCCCCCCCATTTTTAAAAGCTATTTGTCTATTGGCACTGCTTTTAAGGAGAGTTCATTGGCATTATTTTTGAATTTCCAGCCAAGTCTGTTCTTTGATCCTTTCTTTGTGTGAGTTGTTTCATATGCAGTCTGTGAGTGTGAGAAATTTCCAAGATTTCTCTAGTGTTTTACTTTTTACCAAGTCCTATGCTAATATTATGATGAAATCTCCTGTTGAAACTCTCTGGGTAGAATTTTTAACTTCTGTTTCCTGTACTTTGTTTCACTGGAGTTTCTGTCTTGTAGTTAAATCCATTTGCTGCCTCTATTCGTGCTGAATGCAGCTGTTTCATCCAGTGGCAACAATACCAGCCCCTCACTCCAGCCTCAAGGGGAGGACTCTGCTCTTCCTCCAGGGATCTTCATGCAGCTCTATCCCCGCCCCTGCCCCCAGCTATACGTACAATTAATAGCTAGACTTTTTTTTTTTTATCAAATTGTGTAATTAAAGGGAAGCACAGGTGTTCACTAATTCCCAGAAAAAGTGAAATGTTCATCTTTGGAAGCAGAAATAATTGTAACATTTTTAAAGACTTTATAGCTTCAAAAAATGTAGCTCATTGGGATATCACATCCTAAAGTTTGTGATCCATTTGTTAATGGAACGTTTGGGGCATTTCAGTAAAAAACATTCTGTGGAATACATTTTAGGAAAAGCTGATATACTCAGTATATAGACCTTACATTCTTGATATAAAGAAAATTAGCTAGCTTTAAATTAGTACCATTATTCCCACCAATCCTGATTAAATCAAAAGCAACAAATTGTTCACCTGTCTTCCCCCCCAAAAACCTGATTGTGATTTGAGAAAATAATGTCTATACAATAGCAATGAAATTGATTTGCAATTATAAATTCAAAGTAAACTTCAAGCGTAAAGGAATGAGGCAGTCTGCACTCTGGAAGACAGTGTGAAGGTTCCTCAGAAAGTTAAAAATAGAGCTACCCTACTTTCCAGCAATCATGCTACTAGGTATTTACTCTAAAAATACAATAAGAGTTACTCAAAGGGGTACACATATCCCGATGTTTATAACAGCAATATTTACAACAACCACATTATGGAAGTAGCCCAGCTGCCCACTGATCGTTGAAAGGATAAAGAAGGGTTTGGGGCACCTGGGTGGCTCAGTTGGTTAAGCGTCTGCCTTTGGCTCAGGTCATGATCCCAGGGTCCTGGGATGGAGCCCTGCATCAGGCTCCCTGCTCAGTGGGGAGTCTGCTTCTCCCTCTCTTTCCCCTCCGCTCACGCTCTGTCTCTCAAATGAATAAGTAAAATCTTAAAAAAAAAAAAAAGTGGTGTGTGTGTGTGTGTGTGTGTAAAATGGAATATTACTCAGCCATAAAAAAGGAGTTCGTGCCATTTATGACAACATGGACGGACTGAGAAGCTATTATGCTAAGTGAAGAAAAATCTGCAAAAGACAAATACTATATGGTTTCACTCATATGTGGAATTTAAGAAACAAAACAAATGAACATGGGTAGGGGGAATATGAGACAAACCAAGAACCAGACTCTGAACTACGAGAACACACTGCTGGTCACCAGAGGGGAGGTGGGCGGGGCGGGGGGGGGACAGGTGCTGGGGAGCACCTGTCGTGATGAGCACCGGGTGATGGATGGGAGTGCTGAATCACTACATTGTACAGCTGAAACTAATATTACACTGTAGGTTAACTGGAATTTAAATAAAAGTTAATTATTCAGAGAGAAAAACAAAAAAGGAATGAGGCAGTCTTACATCTGAATTTCTCAGTCAAGGAAAGAAAGTAATTTATAGATTTCCATG